AAAAAATGATTTTCAAACTTCCGGCGTTTAAGAAAAACAAAAATACAGATGAACCGGGTAAAGAAACCGTGGTAAAGACGAAAACACCACCTACAAATATGGCAGGAGAAATTACACATCAAGGAGAACGCGCACACGGCCACAGAGTCAGGTGCCAGCAAGGCCGCCGTTCCGGAAACTGAAACGCCAACAGGAGGCACAAAAATACGAGGAACAGAAGAAATTCAAGAAGACTCCAGACCGGAGGACGTCAAGACCAGCCGTCCCAGGCAGAAAACGCAAAGTCCAACAACCAGACGATTACTCCGTCAAGAGGCCAGCATGTAGAGGACGCAAAAGAAAGAGCAACGGGGACGACACTCGGAGATCAATAAGGAGAAGATTGACATCCATGAAACCTCTAACTTGGGATCAATTTTTGCCAAAAACGGATGACGGAGTTTCAAGCATCGAAAACTCAAAGATAAGTTAAAACCTTCTATAAATATTTTTTCTCTTTTGTTCCGAAATGTTATGCATAAGTACGAAGTTCTATGTTTTGACGAAAGTCAATATGTCTCGGTTGAGACTTAGTTTTGTTTTACTTTATTTAGCTAAGGCAAAAGTATTATTTTCTTTAAGTGTAAAAAGCTAAAAACAAGCATTTTCTGTTGGTCGAAAGACTAATTCTGTTATGTTAAAGCCAAAAATTTGGCCGGAAGATAAAAATAACTTCGTATTCTTGTACTTAATAAGAATTTTAGTTTCAGTGCCGCCAGCTTGGCGAAGAATGAGTAAAGTAAAAATTTATTTTCTCTTATTCATTTTTATGGTAAATTGTAAAAATCAAGCATATGTATTAAACTTTTGTAAATGTATGTAAATACTTGAATGTTATGTAAAAGTAGAATTTAGTCTAGAAGCATAAAATTGTAGATGCTAAAAGTGAATGCTTAAAAGCAATGAAGTTCAAAATTTAAGTATTAAACTGTAAAGTCATGCTTTAGAGCGAAAGCCTGCATGTTTAAAGATGAATGAGGGGGAAGTTAGAATGAATGTGTTTTGTAGGGTTCTCCACCTACATTTGAATTTTTAAGAATATTAAAGTAGCTCATTGAGTTGTAGAATGTCGAGTAAGGTGTGTCTATTTGGTCGTTGAATTCTAACAAATCATGGTGGTTAGGGGAAGTGTTGTAAGACTAAAACACGAATATTCCCGTTTGACACCACACATGGTGGAGAGCCAGGGTAAAGTTAAATTAATGCTTGAAAAATTGAATGAATGTGAAGTAAGCAATAACTAAGAAAAACGAATCGTTAAAAACAAAAATTTATTGTGTCAAGAAAGTGTAAATTATAATGTATTTAGAAAGATACTGATACTTATTCCTTCCAGATGCTGGAAGGAAAGACCAAGATTGATTGATGAAGTCCAGGAAAAGTTGCTGTAAGAAGAAAGCTTTGTAACGTATAACAGAATTTTAATATATAATTGTTACATAAGATTTTTTTTGTGTGTAAACGAGGCTTTCGCCAGTTAGTTCAGAATTAGATAAACTTACAACAGGTCGTTTGTAGGACCTGCTTCCAAGTTTTCCAAATTCTGGCAGCGGCAAATGTAGGGTTTATATTTATTTTAACTAACATTTATTTTAAGTTTAAACTATCTTTCCTGTCAAGCCTTACTTTCCCTGGAACTGCCAATGCCAGAATATGTAAATTTTGAGTAGAACGCGCAAGGATTCAAATTATCAGCGGAAGTAAGTATGTATGATTTAAATAGAAGGAAACGAGTTCGGTGAGAGAGTTATTCTTACTTAGCGAGCGCGGAGGTAGTTATCGAGAATTGAAGAACCCCGCGTTGCGGCCTATGTGCTTGGCGGGAAAGTTAGTGGAAATTGTTCCAGTGAGCTTCAAGTCTGCTGAATTAGCAGCCGGTATTGTAAAACGCGGTGAGTTAGTTATTTTAGAGAGCCTCGTAGTTAGAATCTTGTCTTTTTTCTTTTTCAGGTTATTATTTTATTTGACTGCCTAGTGGCACAGTCTTGTAAGCGTCAAGAGGACGCCATTGTAATTTATTACGTTGAATAAAAAGGGACTTAAACCCTTTATAAGACTCTGTGGTTTATACAAGCTTTCACAGTCACCTCTTGGTTGCGTGCAAGTTAGAGGCGCGCAACATTATACTCTAGATAGCTTTAGAAATTCCTTTTGCATTTTATATAACAGGTAATTAATCTCTTAAATATCAATTAATATAATTTCTTTAAAAGTCTTAATCTCATTAACGACGAGGGAATTACAGAACGTGAAAATAATTCATGAGATGATCTTAGCGCACCATAATAAATATGTATTCTCTATCTGGTTGAGACTGGAAATCAGTAAGATCCACTTGACAAAGGCAATTAAATTCAGAAGAAATCATAAGTTTCACAATAGTACAACAGTGCCCTTTTTAATATATTTTTGTTTTTTTCTGGCAGGCCTCACAAGGTGGATGTACAGTTCAATACCACTTCGTGTACCGTTTCTATGTTTGCTTGAAAGTTCTTTCAACATTCTGTCACATCCTCCGGGTCCAATAGTCAAATGAGTTTCATGAAGTACGTGAACTAGCTCAATGTCCGTGACATAATACAGTACAGTACTACTGACTCCTTCTTTAGCAGGACAAAAGAGTTTACTTTCCACAAATATCACATCATAGGGAATCGGCAACTAATAGTCCCGTGGTTCCTTCATAGTAGTCATTTTGGCTTTTTTTATACCGTTTATTAACGGTATAAAAATATTATATTTAAAAAATATTATAAAAAATTATTTCATATGTCGCCGGTTTGTCATTCGGCATTCTATAGAACGAGTAGGCAATTCATAAAATGTATAATCATTTCAAATATCGCGGGCCAGCTTTCGGCATTCTATGCAATACCTAGGTATACAATTTCGGCATTCTATACAATAGGTATTGTATAGAATGCCGGATTTCATATTTTGCGAATAACATTTATATCAAATTTGTGCCAGTTTAGCTTTGTCTGCGTAAATTATTTTCGATCGCCATCATTACTTAGAAATATATATTTGTGTGCAAAAGTACTTATTTTACTGTTTAGAGCAACGATTCACAACCGGTGGTGCGCTAGAGAAAAATAGGTGGTACGCGAAATATTTTTAACAATTAAATTCAAAAATCTCGTAAAGAAAAAGAACAATTGTTAAGACATTTTCTGTAACCGAACTCTAACTAAAGATTTAAAAAATAACACACTTCTTAACTTTTGGCTGAACCGAAAAAAAGGATTTAAAACCATTTCAAATAAAGCTATTAAATTTTTATTGCCTTTTTGCAGAACCTATTTGTGTCAACAATGATTTTATTCCATGTTATATTTTTAAAATAAAAACAGAACAAAATTAAAAGTGTATGATAAGTGATTAAAACTAAGCGAATAAGTAAGTGAAATAAGTTAATAATAATAACTAAGTTAAAACTAAGTGAAATAACAGACAGACAGAAAGAAATAGATCTCTCTTAAACAGGTCTAAATTTCACACTAAATTTTAGAATTAAATTATTATAACTTAAATTTTGATAGTGAAAATGGTAATCAATTTTTAATCTAATATTTTTTATGTGTGCAAATTTAATATAAATAGCCAATAGCTTGTGCAAATGACAATTTTTTTCAAAATATTTCTATTGAGAAACTCGCAAATAATCATTGCAAAATGTAGTAGTGGTACTAAAATTTTTCAAGTTTTGTTTAGATGGTACGCGTCAGTCAAAAGGTTGAGAGTATTAGCACGCTAGACAGTAAATTGGTTAGCGAAACTGACTATTGTTTACTGGTGGACTCAGGTTCGAATCTCATAGAAGATATTTATGTCTGTAAGAGTATACTATTGTCACTTTGAAAGGATAAGAACACACCAAAATTCTCTGATGATTTGGTCCTCATTACGACTGGGAAAAAAATACTGAGCAAAACACACAACAAACTGAAACAACACACATAAAACTGAAATTGAAATTGTTAAGCAACGCATTTTTTGCTTTTAAATTGCTTTGTTTTTTCAAGTAATTTATAGGTTAACTAAATTTTAAAGATTAATAGCGTTAAAGTTTTTATGCTTTACGACAGGGTTCCTTAAACTTTTTTCAGTCGCGACCCCTTTTTATCACCGAGATTTTTTCGCGACCCCCAGGACCCCATAATATTTACAAACATTTTCGGGGACCCCATAAGTACTTCGCAAATCCGTGAGTGAAACTGTCAATTTTTTCACTTGTACTGTAATATACTATTGCAGTTTTAGGTCATTAACTTTAACAGCAAGAAAAATGAACGTTTATATTATATAAAAAGAATGCGTCCAAACGTTTTTCGTTTTCTCCTTTGTCTGTATCGTCTTATCTTTATCTATTTTCAGATACATTGTGTAAAAATATTTTGTAATTGTAAATTTATTATAATAAGGTAAAGAAACATCAAAACTGCTGAAATTTTTGGCGATCCCCTGCTGCAGATTGGGGGTCGCGACTCACAGTTTAAGAAACCCTGCTTTACAGAATGACAACGATCTCCTTGACTATTACCGATGTCGTAGTTAAAATGAATTAAAGACCTTAAGGATTCGGCGAAATAGTAAAATTCACCAAAGCTTATCGACCAAAAATGCATGATAGCGTAAGGTAACGTGACGTCACATAATGACTGAAAGATTTCCCTTAAAGCAAGATTCCATTTGTGGCATCTTAAAAAAAAAATGGAAGGAAGAAACATCCTATCCCAACACTTACATAGTTCGCCAAGAAACTCTCTCTCCCAACCGGCTTTTATCGAGATTTTATATATGTATATGTTAATATCAGGAAGGTGGAGCTTGCTGCGATAAAACACAGAAGTAGGATTGCAGAACGTTGCGAAAGTTACGTGGAAATAAAAAAATATTTCATGCGTTTTATCTTGCAAAGGGAAACTACTCAGAGATTAAATGTTAGCATACATACACGCCTTCGTGAAATGCGTTGGACAGGCGTTATAAGAACTCGAATTTGTTGTACGCAATGGAGAAGCAGCCGGAACATAAATTCACGTTCACATGGATTATTGAAGAGTTCAAAATTAGCCCTCTATACACAACGACATATAGTGGGATAGTTTCACGTCTCCATAGCCCAGAATTTGCTTTCAGCTTTTTACCCGATGTGAAATGGGTTATAAAATTGCATTCGTTATCTGATACTGCGTACATTATTCTATATCCTAGGAATGATATTTCTGCAAATTCCAGAATTCGTTATAGAATTGAAGCATTCGATTTCAACGGAAACCCAATTTTTAGTTTTGAAAATACGAAATATGCTACATCTTTTGAAAAGAAACTCCTTCGATCTGTCATCAACGACATTCTTATATTAAAATTCACTTTCAGCCAAAAGTGTGAGGCAAACCAACCGGATCTACTTCCTCCACTTTCTTACAAGAACGGATTGTTCGCGGATGTCCTCTTGCGTGCCGGTGGTGCAGAATTCAAAGTACACAAAGCCATTTTATGTGCGAGATGGCCCAAACTGGCAGAAAATCTAAACAAAGAAAAAACTAGCCAGCTAGTTTTGGATATCCCGTCGAATGTCCTGGAGGCCATCCTCAAATATGTTTACATGGGAAAGATGGATTTCAGCGGAAACGAACTGTCAGCAGAAGTGTCAGCGGCTGCCGTGAAATATGAGCTTCCACATCTAATATGCATACCTGTTGTGGCACAGAAATGTCGAACCCGACCAAACGTACAGAATGTGTCATTTGAGTGGCCAATCAACAATTTCTCAAAATTAGCTGTTAACACAGTATTACGCAGCCACGTGTTCATACTGGATGCTTCCAGATCTTGCAGATGGAATTTAATCTTTTACCTTCGCGAAGATGCTCTGCATGGTAGAATCTTCGATATCTCCGTTTGCAGAGAATCTGACAGTGCAGTTATACCGATTTTCGTGAGAATTCACATCTCCTTTGACGAAACTAATTCCTCAGAATATGAGTACTTGTTCTTGAAGGATTTAAGTTGGAAGTGTGCAAAATTTTCTCGTAGTATTTCTACCGATCCAGAGGATATATTATTACTTAAATGTGATTTAAAATTTTTCGATTTCAGGTATGATTCCAAAACTGTGCAAACTTCTTATGCGTTTGCATCAACTGGAAATTGCAGATATCTGAGCAGTGATATGGAAAATCTTTTTCAAAGTGGAACATTATCGGACGTTGATATTATTGTCGGTTCGGATACCTTACGCGCTCATAAATTTATTCTATGTGCCCGATCTTCGGTGTTTTCTAGAATGTTCGATTCGCAGATGATGGAATCGAAAACCAACTGCGTTACAATTTCTGACGTGGATTCCTGGGTTATAAATAAAATGTTTTTGTTTCTATATTCTGGAAATTTTGATCCCAGTCGCGAATATATGACAGAAACTATGGATGTTATGGAACTCTATGCCGCAGCTGATAAGTACGATATTCCTACTCTTAAGAAAAAGTGCGCATCTTACCTGAAATCGAACCTTTCTGTCCAGAACGTTTGCAAAGTTCTACAACTGGCCGATGTGCATTCCGATGACGATTTGTACGAGAGTGTATTCGAATTTATCAGCGCTCATGCTGAAGAAATCTTCTCAACTTGTGAATGGAAAGAAATATCCAAAAATAACATATGTGCAAAACTTTTAGCAAAAGCGATTATACGTAAAAATTCGGCAAAATGATTAATACAAACTTTGAGTTTAGTTTTATCTTTGAAAGAATTTTTAATTGAAAACAACCTAAAAAATTGGCTAATGGTTAAAAAATTGGCTTAATTTTACGTTTCTAATCACACGCGGACCTCAAAATGTTTCTTCTCAAATAGGATATTTTTTGCAAACTTTCAAATTCTAACCCATAAAATATTTTTGTCTACTAGTAAGTATTAAAAATCCGGATGCAGTAACTATTAAAAATCCGGATGAAGGATTTCAGAACATCCTGAAATTTTGTTTCCTCGTTATTTACAACATGATACATTATTATTATTACTATGCTTTTGTAAAGCCATAACTTATCCCATACCATGCCAAAGACACGAATCTGAATGATTTACAGTACCGATATTTACGCTTTGTTTAAACTGTTTTTTATGCTTTATTCTATGCTTAAGAAACACACTAACATTTCTTAAACGCATGTATAATTATTATTATATGTTCCCATAATTCAGTAACTCTCAAGAATAAAAATCTAAATTAGCTTTTGCGGAAGTTGTGACTTTTCAAGTTCTTGATTTTGGCGTGGCGTGGATACTCAAATTTTTATTTCAACTTAAACCATTACTGAGGAATTTATTAACGAAAGGTTCTTATTTAGGACATAAAATAATATTCTTGGTTTTCCTTGTCTTTTAAAATAAAATTATTTTATTCCATAAATTATAGGTGAAAGTAAGTGTAATTTATTAATGAAATTATAAATGTAATAAGTGTTTAATTTACAAATGAAGTTTTACAGGCATCAGAGTTATTTCTCTTGATATTTAAAATTAAAATAACTAATAATTTTCTATGAATTGGTGCATTTGTATGAAATTTGTGCTATTTTTAGGTTTTTCTGCGCGTATCGTTTTCGATTACGAATTTTGCCCATAAATATAGTTGAGCAAATGTACTTATTTTCCTGTATGCTGAATGTTTTTAAAAAAACATTATGGTGTTTATTACATTTTATATTGCAAAGTGTTTGAGTACAGAATAAAACTGTTCCCACGTTAAATAATGCCTCTAAAGAGAGTAACCCTAAAATATTTTCCATTTATACCATTTACTAAGTGGCCTTAAAAGTCACATTGGTAGCTAGTTGCACTGCCTAAAGTGCTGACTTATTTATCCGGAAGTTTTATTAGTTAAAGTATTAGAACCGAACGCGTTCCTTAGGGTTTAGCTAAAACTGGATTTTCTGTATGAATGCGCATACCAGCAAGCGAATAAGCCTGCTGAACACTGGTAGTTTGCCCCGAGTTGAAATCTCAGCGAACGTGTGTTTTGTGGTTTCTCTTTGTATAAATAAATACGTCCTTGTTTTTCTTACAAATTTCTCTACGAAAAAATCCCTCTTCTTAAGCTGATAGCCCTACTTTTCTACAATCACGCCGGAAGTAAAATGCAGTGGGAAACAATTCTTGCTACCTACACAGGGTCGACTGGGAAAATGTACGAGATCTCGTCGTTTAAATCAGGCAAGGTTTCTTTTAAATGAGAGAGAATGTAAGGAATTATCACATTCATTCATGCACACTCTCATAGTGTAATGGGTTAGCGCACGGCAAAGGAACACGTTGTTTTCTTTTTTAATTTCCTGGTCAAAAGTCTCTAAGAGTCTCTGTAATTTTGCGTTAAGAGTATTATAGTAAACTCGAGGTGAGTTAGATCAAGTACAAGTCAAATCATTCATACCATAACTGAAAGAAAAAATACTGTTAACAATTCATTTACATATTGAAACATTTTAACTAGAAAATAATGTTGTTCATGTAAATTAAAAAATCTGATGCGGACACCACATGGCTTCCTTGTACGGAATATTAAATTATAAGCATTGTTTTGCTGCATTTCATTTAAACTTATTTCCTGGAATTTTATTAGAGATAGACCTTTCATTCAATTAATTCAGTTCTCGTTTCGCGGCAAGACAAAAATATGGGTCAGTCCGTAAATTCGTGCGCATTTTTTGGTAAATTTTTAAATAATATAAAAAAAACAATTTAACATTTTAATCAGTTATATATTTTCCTCCATTATCTACAATATCTCGCCCTCTTACAGGCAGCTTTTTTATGCCATTTCTGTAGAAAGACTCTGGTTTTGATGCAAAAACACTTGGAAGTTTATTGTGTACATCCTGTTTAGAATTTAATTTTTTTACCCAGTAAAAAAATTTGTAAGGCACGAAAGAAGTGAAAATCACTTGGGCAATATCTGGGGAGTAAGCATGATGTGGCAAAAGCTCCCTATTAAATTCACTCATTTTTTGCAGCGTTGTTAGAGTCGTATGCGGTCTAGCGTTATCACGATGAAACAAAACTTTCTTCACATTCACCAGTCGGGGGGGGGGCGTTTTTTGATCAATTCTAAGTTTAGACGGCACAGTTGTTCACTATAAACTTCTTGAATTAATCGTTTGATTTTGTTCTAACAGTTCAAAACGTCCTGAACGGAGTTCATCATCCTGCTGCTTCTTTTTTCCAACTTTAAATTTTTTAAACCATTTCTGGGCAGTCCTTACACTAATAATGTGTTCACCACGTACACTTAATTTTTATCGCTGCAAACCTGGTAGATTCACCACACGAAAATAAAATTGTAGCACAAAATTTGTAATTTGTACTGATTATCTATATTCATCTTCTATGGGTACTAAAATGCGTTCGATATTTACGAAAGTTGGTGATGAACTGAATATGTTAGTCAAACGATGATAAGTTTCAACAGGTTCAAAATTGTATTATTTTAGTAAATGCGTCATAGTGAATTCGACGCATACTCTTAATGCGCACGAACTTAATGACTGATCCTATACATAAAACCTCAAAATAAACCTCTGGGCTAAAAAACAGCATTTTTTTAAACGAGGCCTGCCTTATTAATGCCATCTTGATTAATCGGAAATTTACTGTAAGAAAAATGAAAAAGTTTGAAATATTCTTTGAAGAAGAAAAAATGTGATAAACATGAACCCTCGAGAGTTAAAACCAGATGGGATTTAGTGTCACATGATCCGAATATTTCGTATTCTGTACCTTAACATAAACACAGCCAAGATTACTTTATTTCATTTAAACTGGCCAGGTGTTTAAGAGCATTTTTAGTCTCAAAATGGGATTTTTACGTTGAATCGCCATAAATGCCTCGTTTCCCTTTTCATTTGTCTTTGCTAATATTGAGCAATGCGTGTGCCGCCAACCGGTGCAGTGGTTAGCGTCTCTGACTGCTGTGCCGAAGGACTCGGGTTCGAATCCCGGATAAGGCGTGGATGTTTGTAAATGTATAGTGACATGCGGCATGGAGGCACTCTAAATATACGGCGAGCCGAAAGTTCTTTAGAGAAGTTTATGGTAGAGGAAGAGGAGTGGGAGACCCTCGGACCCGTTCCTCGGGGTTAAGATGAGTACATGTTTAGAATCTTCGATAAAAAGATTTTTTCCCTTCTCCGTAGAGCATTGGCCCATTGCTCGTTTTTAAATCGTTGAGTTTGTTAATCAAAAATTCGTTAAGGTTTTACAAAATATTAAATCGATAATAAAACAAATTCCAAATTTCAAATTTGGGCTTTCAGATGCCCATATTCGGAGTAGGATTACGTCATTCAAAACTGGATGGCTCTAGGTACCGTTGTTTTATCACAATGCGAGAAACATACATACATTTATGCGGATTTTTCATTATTTAATTTCTTCAAATATAATGGAAGACTCTAACATTTGGTGGCAAACATTTGAAAAGTGACACGCCGTTTATAGTGATTCGTCGCGAAATCGCAAAACAATAGTCCTTCAATGCTAAAGCCCCTTTGGACTAAAAATAGGCGAATTTTATTTGAAATAAACATAAATTTCGAAATATGAAAGGAAGAATCAAATAAGTTTAATAAAAAAGAGACATTAATAAATATATATCAAATTCAATTAACACTGCGGAGCTAAAATTTTGAGAGCTAATTTTTTTAAAAACTACTCCAGCGATTTTTACAAAACTTGGTACTTTGTGTTAAATTGAGTCGTAAAATCAAATATTGAAAAAAAAAAAAAAAAAAAAAAAAGTGGCATGCCATTTCAGAAAATGTCCGATTTTGTGTCAAAATATTTGTATTAGAACAATACTATGTAAAAATAATACATATCCTAATTGCGCTTTCGAGACATGAAAACACACTGCGAACAAATAATCTAGTTTATGAAATTAATTTTTTTACTGGTAAGCATTAAAAATCTGGATACAGTTCAGAACGTTTTGAGAGTTTGTTATCTTATTATTTCCAGTGTGGTATATTGTTATTATGAACGTGTGAATTGATAACTCTTATGCCAGTTTTCAGAAAAATGTATAAAAATATTCGTTGCTTTTACTATATTTTACCGCCTTTTACTATGCACAAACTAATTGTAATATTTATTAACAATGCAGGTTTATTGCCATTGTAATTTACAGTATTATCAATACTATGCCAAAAACAGGAATCTGAATTTTCTGCAGTTTTCATTCTTATATATTATACCTGTAATTTTTGCTTCCTTGTACAAAGTAAAGATAGTATTGTAATCGCGAAAAATTTATTCTATTGAAGTATTCGTGAATATTTGAATAGAAATATCCAACTTGATCGTTCCCAAATCCGTTGGGCTATTTTTGCGTGATGTCTGTACGTACAGACGGAATAAAGGTCTGTATTTTCCAAAACGGTTTGTAAAAAGGGTAAATGTTTACAATTGGGAGCCCTCCCTCATTTTTTTTTTTTTTTTTTTTCCCGATTCTTATTTGACACCGAAACCGGTGCCAGGAAGGAACAATTTCAAGATCGTCTGTGCGCAAAACCAAAATAAGAAGTCAAAAAATTGCACAAACTCTGTGTCCATGTAAACATCGATCTATTTTCATTTAAAAAAATCAGAGATTGCACTAAATAGGCAATGCGCACTGCCTTAACTTTCTCCATGTACACATCGATCTATTATCACTTAAAAAAAATCAGGAAGCTAAAACAAAGTTAAAACTATCATGGTAACCAGAAATGGGGTTCATCGCCAAAATTGTCGCTAATCGAAGGAGTACCAAATTCTACACTAAAGCCATAAAATGTATTCAAAAGGGATTTTTTCGTGACCCGTCAGTGCGTACGTACGTATGTGTGTGTCTCGCATTGCTCAAAAAAGAGTAGCCGTACAGCGTTGAAATTTTGTATATGGGACTACTATAACATATAGTTGTGCACCTCCTTTTTTAGCAGCATCAGAAGTATATACATTTGTTAATTGATAGTAGTTTGGTTTTGTTCCCTTTGACAAGTCGATTAATCTGCGATCAATGACAACACTTACTTTTTCAATACTTAAAATCTTTACTTTTGATTTTGGCATTTTTGCGATTTAGGATTTTTCTTTACAGATTTTTATGTTTTATGTCATAGATGCAACCCTAACCACATATACAGTAGAGGTCTAGAAAATGGTAATTAAAATACTGACTGAATTTTTTTTAATAATTCATGGTGTTAATGGAATTTCTGTTATCTGGAGATGGTTTATAAAAAGTTTTATAAAAAACTGGTTTATTACTTTGCTGCTTTAGCGCAGGTTTATAGGCTTTTTAATTTACTCATAATTACTTTTATTTAGAATTTTTATTCTAACTAAATAGCAGCTTTAAGCGCTATTTTAGTACTAGCCTACTGTCAATACATTATCTCCAAAAAACTTTCAAGTTTTCTCTCCAGTTTAAGGCTAAACTCTCTTAAATAGAGAAAAGTGCTTTTTACCGCAACCCTCTTAAATTGCATCACTGAATAGAATTGCATGTCCAACCATTTCGTTTTGAACTTTTGCAGGCAAATAAGTTAATTTTAATTTCCTTCCTGAGTTTGATCTTTAAAAAATTATTTAATTAACTACTTTTAATAAACTT